ACGCAGGTCACGTTTTTCTTTGTCCCTTACGTGGGAGCTACAACATATTCTCCATTCCTTTGAAAATGATGAGGAGCCAACTCTTACCTTGAAAGTTACGCTACTGAAATGAATAAGGAGTGCTGCAAACTAGCATCTTCTTGCAGAGAAGTATGAAGTTAGCAGGAACTACGCAGCTGTGCAGCAGCATTCGTACTAAATATGAGCTCATGGGTGGAGAGAGAGGGGCAGCTCTAGCAACACAGGTTTGCACGGTATTAGTGCAATCTCATTGATCGATTACTTCATATGGAGCTCATTTCAGATCATCCGACGGGCGAAAATGTTCCCTTTCCAGTCGTATTATCCTCGAGAAGTCAATGCATTAGGCAATCGAACTGCAATTAGCTGACATCAGAGCATCTAACGGATGATTGCGTAGTTTCGACGACCACCAGATACGCGGGGACGCGATGAAGGGTTATCATTTTGCATTTGATTGAAATGTAGGGATAAAAAAATAATGGCGATTATAATGCAACATAAAAGAACCTATATTAAACCGGTCGAAAATTAAAAATTAAAAATGCGTAAACTTATCATGAATCTCTTTAAAAGGGTCACGTCAAGTAATGCCACTGATAATAAGAACTGGAAGGTGGTGACCTTGACGAGGGTATAAATTGTTATTTTCTGTCTGATTCTGAATGTGTTAATGATTATCTATCAGGGAAAATCACGTGAACAAATTTGGGCAAGATACCTGGAAATTCTGCTGCCCTTGTCAGTGCTTCAACTGAGAACTCCACATTGACTTTGGGTGAAGGACGCAACGGCGCCATGTGCTGACAAATCAGATCCGCGTAGTTTAACCAGGTCAACATGTCCAAACAGTCTAAACATTCTAATTCCCGTTCCCCAGTTCCAGAGGCCGCTGATTCTCCCGATTGAGCTGCCGTTGTGTGTTCCGGATCGGTGCCTGTGGCCGAATTCGGTCCAGGTAATACGCATGTGTCCAGTCCGGCGCAACACAAATGTCGCAAACCACGTTGTGGGATTGGACCCTCATGACCCCAGTACAGTTGAAGCATATCACCCAAAAGACTAAGCAGTAATTGTGGTGTCTCTTGGGTATAACCCGCGTGACCGAGTGGATCGTGAAATTTGAGCTGCGTGGGGTGATCAGTTTTTTGTTCGTGGGACAGGGGGGGGAGAGATCAAACAGATTGGTCAAATTGTAAAAGAACGAGCTAGATTTGTCTTATTTAACTGTGGTTCGGATGTACGGACCAGTAAAATCACGGTAAAAAGGTTAATCTCGACCAGTTGTAACCACACACTATTGTATTATTACTTGAGATAACAGTGAATATATGGAACCAACGCTCCGGCAGAAGGAGATGACCTGATCCAGTGAGGTATTGCGAAGCCCAATGGGAGTACACAAGCACACACATACAAGGCTCTGACATGTACAGACAACCGATGATCATTGAAAATTTTCAGTCGAACTGCACCACCAAGATATTTTGAGAAATTGATTTACCGTGCACCCTGAACGTGCTTAAAAGTTCGGCTACTTCATTCTTGTTAAGAATAGTCCTTTGACAATGCTGAGCTGCCGCGTTTGTGATGACTTGAATGGGGACGAGCACGGTTGCGCGCTTCCCCACATGGTACAATGTTGTGCCCCATTTTATGAGTTAAATGACGACATAAGGAATAAATGCAATCAGTCTGTAAGCCCGTGAGAAAACCTGGACATAAACACGCAAGCAGGAAGACAGGCCGATAACAGGTGCAAGCATTACATGACGTCAGAATGCGGTTCCAGGGCAATCAAAAATAGTCAGGGAGTCAATCTGCGTGGTCAGTTAAATCATGACATTTGATTGGCTGGAATGGATAGGTATTGAGATCAACGTGCTTGCGTGCGTGTGTGGTAGCAAGAAGCACTGGTCAACCAATCAATCAATCAATCAATCAATCAATCAATCAATCAATCAATCAATCAATCAATCAATCGATCGATCGATCGTTCAAACCATGGACATGCGCAATAAATGTACCAGTCAACTGCGGGCCACAGCGTAACCCGCTAAGTTATCAGGGGTTTCACATGAACAATGGACGGTGTAGCATCGATCGCTATCTACCATTGAAAGTTCACCACCGTCACTTAGACAGGGATGAACTCCCTAATGCGTGACTGCGACTGTGAGCAGCTAATAACGGAATGTGAAAAATACTACTTATGTTTTTAAATTTTCTAGGCACTAGGTTGATTGATCAAAATTTATTTTCTTTTTGAAAGTTTAGGTTCAAATAGATACTACTCGACTATTTGTTACAAATTACATCAGCCGTCTAGACACCTGGCAAAATGTTTGATTTGCAGTGACCATCCTTCAGTTTCCATATTTACGCACAACCCCCAGTTCATACAGCTAACCGCACGTCCGCGAAGCATTAGATTCCAGTTTTGAGATACCGTTTTGCCATTCCAGAATATGCTCATTATGACACTCGTTCAGAGGCGAGCAGGCCAGAATGCCCGATTGTTTTCGCCGAAAGTGAGTCACAAAGAGGACTGATATGTGTCTTGGGACAGTGCGTTCAATGTCATGTTCATCTTTTATGAGTTACCCAAATTCAGTAGTATATGCATCTATCATTTTTAAAGTTGTATCACCGAGTACTGTGGAGTAGTGTGTGTGTTGCACCATGAGTTCTAACAACCTATCTCCGCGTTTCATCTGATGGTTTACTCTGTTTTA